ATGCTACCAAATCTTTAATCTAAGAACTAGCAAGACTTGATGGCTGGCTGTATTGGCAGTCAAGGGCAGACAAACTAGACAGGAGCTTGGAAGCCTAGGAGGATGGGATGGCACAGGGATAGTAACAGAGAAAGGTTTGGGGAGGAAAGAGGATGAGGGAGCAGAGAAGAGAGTGTCCTTACCCAGCTCGATGCAGGTTATCCCCAAGGACCAGACATCCACCTTGCCGTCGTACTGTCCCTCATCCATGGCCAGGATTACCTCTGGAGCCATCCTGGAAGGATGGCCAGGACAGAGAGGTTCATCACCCACCCAGACCCTGCCAACTCCCTGTTCCCAACATCCCAGGAGCTCTCTCCACTCACTCCCACTCACCAGTACGGGGTGCCCACGAAGGAGTTGGCGGGTGCCATGATGGATGCAGAGCCGAAGTCCCCCAGCTTCACCAAGCCTGGCTCTGATAGCAGAATGTTTCCAGCCTTCACATCCCTGCCAGAGGTAAAATGCAGGGATGAGACATGCATCTCTGGAAGGCTGGATGGGGCTTCAGCACCCAGTTTCCCAGAAAGAGGCTGTAGCCCAGCTGAGTAGAGGGCACCCCACTGCCAGCCATCATCAGCAAACTTGTACCTATGGATCATGTTGTGGGAGTGCAGGTAAGCCAGGCCCTGAAGGGCCCCGTGGGTCACAGCCGCAATCTCCACCTCCTGAAGGGGCTTCTTGTGCACTGGAGAGTCAGAGAAAAACATCATCTGAGGAAGCTGAAGGGTGGACCGGAGCAAGCGCCCCTTAACCACTTCCTATAGCTTCTCTGCTCCTCTCCCTTGTCCCACCTCTTGGCTGCCAAAGAGTCACTCACCTTCTAGAAGGTCAGAAGCTGAGCCCAAGCAATACTCCATCACCAGCTGAGGAAGGGTCAAGGGTCAGAGGTCAGCAGATCCTGGCCACCCCGGCCCAGCTCCCTTGGGCAGAGACCCAAAGCAGAGAGCTTCCTTGCCTATTCTTCATTCAGGCACAGCCCCCAGAGTAATAACAGGGAGGAAGGGCAACTGGAGAAAATGAGGGGCGATGGGAGAGGAGTCCTTGGAGCCAGTGCCTCCCCTACAAAGAGCCCAAAATGCTCACCACCACTCCTATCAGAATCCCTTCAGAGCCCCATTCAATCTCCACCTCCCCCAGCCCACATGCCCTTCTCCAACTGCTAACAGTCTATGTCACGCTTCAAGCCAGCCTCTCCTTCTGGACTGACACTGCTGCTCATGGGTTTGTCTGAAGACAAGAGCAGTCAGGGCGAGCCTTCCCCCAGCAGTATCCTGAACAGGACCCACCTAAGAGCCTGGACCAGGATGAGGATGGGCTAGAGTAGGGGTAAAGATCAGGCCAAAGTCAGGAGGCCAGCTTACCCAAGCTGTGTGTTCTCTCAGGTAACAGCCCCGGTACTGAATGGTATTGGGATGCCGGAGTTTCTGCAGGAACCGCACCTCTTTGATGATGTCCTGCCACTTCTGGAGGGAGGCCAGGGGAGGAGAGGGTCACCCAGCCTGCATCTTGAGACTGGGGTCCCCTGCCTCCTACTCAGTCTTGTCAAGACTGACCCACCTCATTTGACTGCTTCCCACTGTAGGACATCTTCTTGATGGCCACCACCTCACTGTTTCGGACATCTCGGGCCTAGGAGACCAGATCAGAAGGTGGTGAAGGCCCCCAGTGAGAATCAAGAAGCGGGAGGACTTGCTTGCTCAGGAGAGGGCAGGAGAGGCTGGTGTGGAGAGCACTGCAGAGGGGCTGCTCGGAAAGAACAGATTTTCCACCCTTATCCCACCCTCCCAAGCCTCAACTCACGAAGTACACAGCTCCAAAGCTCCCATGGCCAATTTCTCGGAGGTCAGAGAAGAGCTTTTCAGGGTCATCCTTGAAGAAGAGCTCAGCCACATCAGGGTCCTTTAGGCTCCCGGCCCGGCCCCCGGCCGGCATGGTGGCCCCCGGGGGCCCTGGGAGTGAGGCCTGGCCTGGTGAACAGAGAAGGGATCCTTACAGAGGGAAAGAGGCCCTCGGGTTTCTGCCTTCTCTTCCCCTAGTTCCCTGATGAGGGGGAGGCACTGACGAGGAAGGGCAGGGGGAGATTAGAAACATCAAAGCTCAAAAAAATGAAGTTGCCCTGGCAACCAGAGCACGGGGGCCGGGTCCCTGGAGTCCCTAAAACTGCTAGGAAGACTCTGGGAAGCTAAGCATCTTCCCTATCTTCCTCAGCCCTCAACAAGTTCCCATTTTCCTACCAACTCTGGCCTCTCCCCTCAAGAATGAAGGATTCTGCTTCCCAACCAGAGCCCCAGAGACCCAAGTGTCCAGTCCTGCAAGTCCCATACCCCAACTATTTCCAGGCACCTTCCTGTTCCCCTCAGCGCGAGGCCCCCTCCTCCCTCAACCTCTCACACCCTGGAAGAGGACAGGAAATGGCCAGGCCGGAGGCAGTGGAAATCCGGCCATTGTTAGAAGTGGGTACTGGTCCAGAGGGGCCAGGAGACTCACTCTCAAAAGCGAGTAGCGACACTGCGGCCGAGATCTAGAATGGGAAGGACAGGAATGTAAGTGGAGCCTGGCTTTGGGGGCTTCTCTGTGATCTGGGCTGCCTTACTTGTCCAGTCTAATTGCATAAGCACCATAACACAGGAACAGGGCATTTTCAATGTCCAAATAATATTTATTGAGCACATACAGTAAGCACTTTCCATGTGTTATCTATCATTCAATCCTAAACCCAACCCTATGAGGTAAATATTACAACCCACGTTTTACAGATGAGGAAACTGGCTCAGAAAGGTCAAGCTACTTGCCCAAAGTTGGTCCTGCATCACTATGCTTTCAGACCAGTCCTATGACACAAGTAGGGCAGGGATCATCATCACCATTTCACAGATGAAGTCACTGAGGCACAGAGAAGAAAGATGACTTCTCCAAGGTCGGAGAACAGGACCTTTTCCTCTCCAGTCAGGCCTGCATGCTCATTACTCTCAGCCCCCTGCCTGCAGGAAGCCTCTCCTGACCACTCCAGCCTTTGGAAGAGCCCCTAGAGCAGCCAGGCAAACATCCAGAGAAAGCTCCTGCAGGACTGGCTTTCCGAGGGGCTTCCACGCCAGGCTAAGCACTTGTAGGAACTTAGGCTCAAGTCAAGGATACAAAGGAGACTTCAGCAGAGCTGGACTCCTAGGGTAGAGTTCTAGCTACTTAAAAACATCTAACAATTTAGCATGTAATTACATTCTATCGTGCATTGTTTCCTGTTGTGCTGTTAATTCTGACTCCTCAGCCCAGTTGGAAGCTGGAGGGACTCTGTGGTGGGTCCCCAGGGCGCAGAGAACTCAGAATAGCCTGAAAGATTGATTGACTGCCCTCAGCCCAGCCCTCAGCAGCTCCCAGGCTGCTAAAAGCAAGCCCCTTTCTCCCTTCTCCTACCAGCAGCCAAGCACCCCTCACCCCCACCACACACCCACATGTAAAGGCAGGTGCTCACAATTTGCTAATGGAAACTTCCTGGCCTCTTCCTCAGCACCCAGTCCAAGAATGCCAACCCAGGACCCCACGCCACATGTAAGGGGTGCCACATCACATAGTGGCTCTTCCTCACAATATCAATGAACATTTATTGAGTGACTACCAAGATCTGTGCTAAATCATAACCACCTTCTAAGTTGAACAACGTTATCTCCATTCTGCAGATGAAGAAACCAAGTCCATGGGTCTCTAAGCTACACTGTCAGTACATCCCCTCAGCAAGGTACAGCAACAGGGCTTTGAGTAAGTTTCTTATACTTAGTCTTCTCTTCTGTAAAATGGATTACAACATGCAGCTGTTTTGAGATTTTAATGAGATCCATACTTAGGAGCACTTAACAGATATTAAACATACGGATTTTTTCTTCCCCACCTCCACGGTTGCCACAACACCACTTTAATCGTTGGGGGTCATCCTACCCCAGCAGCTTGGCTTTAACTATTAAGAGACACCACTATGGCTATCATTTGTCACAAGAGAGTCTTTTCAGGAACCTGGGCCAAAATCTGGGATTAGGGTAAAAATGAAGGTCACAGGAGAGAGAAAAATCCATGAGGTAGAAAGCAGAAGCCAGAGCCTCCCATTAGGAAAAGCCTGAGTATAACCCTCCTGCAAAGGAAGATCATTTCAACCCTCATTCTTAAACCTCACTCCAACTTGTTCTCCTCTGGACCCCTTGCCAAACCCAGGCTCAGGGGAAAAGACATGGAGCAGGGGCAAGACTTGATCCAAGACTTGGGTTCAAATCCCAATTCTGCCATTAGTGTGACCTTGGGCAACCTCTCCAGGCCTTAATGTTCTTCACTGTAAAATGGGAAGACAGTAATAAAGAGCCCCCACAGGGTGAATGTGGTGGGGGAGCACATGAGAAAATGGATGTAAAAGCACTGTGTAAATGGTGGACCACTGAACAAATGTACGAGATTATTCATACCATCACAAAAAGATTAGAAAGTGCAGCTAGGAGAAAATATTGCCAGCCCCCCCCCCCCACTTCTTTGCAAGGACAACAAACCCAACCGAACCAGGCCCAAAAGCAGATAAGCAGATCCTGACCCACCATGGGGATTAGAGGCATGGGAATCAACACCCCAGAACAGTCAGGAAAAAGGAGTATAATCATGTTAGAGGTGACTGTGAGGGGCAAACTGAACAGGGCAACAGACAGAGGAGTGCAAACCCATCTGATAAGCTCAAGCATCCTAGGTATGACCTAGGAGACCCTGTCACCTGAGGTCCCCTTCAACCAGACACAACTAAGGTAAGAGGAAGGGAAAAAGGGTGGCAACAGAAGGCAAGGCTGGCCAGAGGCTGACCACTGGCCCAGCTGGGATTCCCCATCCCGAGGAGATGGCCTACTTGGGCCCAGCTTCTCAGAAAGAAGCACCCTTTCTTCTCAGTGCTAGACACAGGGACCCACGCCCCTGCACCCCGCTTCTCACCTGGATGGGGTCACTATGGTGCCCCAGCGCCTCCGCCTTCTCCTGGGGTCCTCCAGCGGCTCTGCCAAGCAGGGAGAGGGGCAAGGAGATCCTTCCCCTCGCCACCTCTTCCTCGGCTTTCGCCCTTCCTGAGGGGCGGACCAGGGAAGCCTCCCCTGGAGGGGAGGGGGTGACAACCTGATCTGACCTCGCGGTCCAGTCCTCCTCCTCCTCGAGGGCGACAGTTGCTGAATCCCGGATTTCTGACTGTGGGGGTCTGAACCCCGGATATTTGAGCGCGGGGGACTGAATCCGGTATTTGAAAGCCTGGGGAATGAACCCCGGATACTGGTGCACCGAGGGGCCTGAACCCCAGATATTTGAAATCCAATGAAACAGAGCCCTAGGTTTAGAGTTTGGGACCCGAGTCCCAGATATCTGCAATCTGAGGGGCTGATGCCGGATATTTCAGAAGCGAGGAACCAAGCCCGGAAATTCGGGACCCAGGAGCCTGAGCCCGGGTCTTCGGCCACGGACAGGGGGCCCACCCCGAGGACGTCCGGCCGCACAGCCCCTTTCACGCCAGGGTCCGAGGGTGACAGCCCCCACGCCCGCCCCAGCCTCCTCCTTTTCCCCTTCTCTCTTCCGAGGACAGCGGAAAAATTGTAGCTAAGACGCTGCCGGCCGTCCCCGTGCCCTCTCTCCCTCTCCTCTTCTCAGTCTCAGCCTCTCTCCGCAACACAGCCCTGGTCTCGTCCCGATCTCCCTCTCCCTCTTCCTCCCAATTCCAAGATGGAGACCGGGCGGGAGCGCGCAGGCGCCGTAGGGATGCCGGGCCAAAGGGGGCGGAGCCCTAAAGTGAAACGGCCCCGCCCCTCTCTCCTCACCACCGCGGTCTGGGAGATGGGCAGCCAGAGCCTGAGTGCGCGCGCGCCCCGCCACGCGGACCCTGGAGGAGGGAACAAGAACTACTCCTGGAGGGGGAGGAGCCCAGCGCGCGGTCGGACACTGGTCGCGGACAAGGCTGTGGCGCATGCGCTCGCTCCGCGTTATCGCGGAGCTCGAGCTTGTTGCTAGGGGAAGCTTTGAGGGGGCGCGGGTGGCAGGAAAGGAGAAGCCGCGATCTGCGATTGCGTTCAGGGGAGAGGTTGGGAGGGGTAAGCGAAGGCCGCTGCTGGGCGCAGAAAAGGCGGGAAAATGGACTGTTCTGAAGTTGGTAACCATCCAGCCTGGACGTGGGCTCCCAAGTAGAGGAATCTTGGCACGTAAGTGCTGGGAAAACTCACTAAGTCAAATCCCTTCATGAAACTGAGGGCCGAAGGATTTGCATGACCCTACCCAAGGTCACACTGCATTTATGTCAAAGCACTTCCACGTGACCCTCCCAATTGGCTGGAATTATCAATCTTATTCCACAGAAGAAAACAAGACATAAAGTGGCAGAGATGGGACCAAAACCAGGTATTTTTCAAAGCCCAGTCACACAGTGGGAAGAGATGAAGTAACCTATGCCTTAATCCAACCTGTATCCCAAATGAGCTTATAGGAAAAAATCTCCCAAAGCTCCCAAGCCTGTCTACCCTAAAATTTTCACCTGAACCCAATCCCCAATCAACACCCCAGGAACACTGGGCAAAAAAGCCTTTTATTTTTCCCCACAATCCAGCTCTTCACTTTTTGTAACATCTCTTCCAACTCAGAACCAAGGCCCAAGAGGTTGACTCAGACCTGGGGAAGAGAGAAAGAAAATTAAAACACAGGGCAGGTCACAGAGCCCTTGGGGAGAGCTCTGGGATGACTGCAGAAATTGAGGAAGGAGCAGAGGAAATGACAACTAGAGACAGGAGTGGGTACTTGTCCTAGTCAGAATGGCCTCAGGGCCCCAGGATCTGCCAGGGGCCAGAAAGGCTTCCTTCCCAGTTGACTCGTATCTAAGAAAGACGGAGAGGGCTCCACCACTTCCTGTCCCAAGTAGGTGGTTGGAGCAGTCAGGCCTAGCTCTGAGCAAAATGGTGAAATAAGCAAAGTTGATCTTGAGCTTCCAGTTCCTCTAGTGGAGCCCTTCCCTGGGCCTGAGCTGTTGCCATGTCTCCCAGTTATTTCCTGGGGCACAACAGCCAGCTGAAGCTGACAACAGTTTAAGAGCTGGTGCATCATATATGGCTCTCAGACCATGAGACCCACCCGTCAGAGTGAGGATTTTTTGCAGAAATATTTTTTTTCCCTAATAAGCTGACATGTGTTCCTCACCCCCTGCTACTTTTGTGAAGTATCCTGTTATCAGGACTAGCTTTTTCTAAATGCAGTGATGGCTAAATGGAAAAGACAAGGTGCATGTAAAAGTGCTTGGGCACATAGTATGTACCCACTAAATGGTAGCTTTTATTATCAAAATCATCAATGAGATTTGTTTGAGCTGTTCAAGTTGAATTATACAAAAATTGCATCATAAAACTGGGTATCATGACTTTAGGACAAAAGTAAGACAAGCATGATTCCTCTCCAGGATACACCATCAAACCTGAACCCTTTTAATTTACCATTGTTGCCAATTAAAAAATGTGTGTCTGTGTGCATAGTTCATGTATCTGTAGGATTCTGAGGACCCACAATTTTTTTTAAAAAGCCTGGATGTAGACTACAGTCACAAAAGAGTACGTTTTGTATGCCTGCATTTACATCAAGTTGAAAAAGAGGTAAAACTAAACCATATTGTTTAGGAATGTATACTTGGTATTAAACCATAAAGCAAGATAGTAGTTACCTCTAGGGGGAGGGAGGGTGTTGTCAGGAAGAAAGGGACAATGGGGGGTTTTTGTGTTGCTGGGAATATCCTACGTTTTTGCCTGAGTGGTCTTTATAAGAATGTCCGCTTTGTAATAATTTGTCCAGCTGTACTTTAGGTTATGTGGGCTTTCCTACATAAGTGTTAAACATTTTAGAATATAAAAGTAAAAAAAGTAATCATAAGAAAAATGTTGAATGCTGATGGTGTAAATTGTTCACAGGCCTAGGGATACCTGCAGTTGAACAGGGTTCCCAGGGACACAGAGGAAGCAACATTTGAGAATGGATGCCAAGGACCTGCTCTACCCCAGTTATAATCATCACCCTTAGCCCATTCCCTACTCCCAAAGGACTGCGGCAAAGAACCTCACCTGAGAACAAGGCGGGAACTGGGCCAGTGCCCTCAGAGCCGCGTTCGAGACCAGTGGGACTCCCGGCGTGGGTGGAAGCACACAGCAGTGACACAGCAGAGAAGGCCACAGAAGAGAAGCAGGAAGGAGCCCAAGACCAGGAGCCTGGAGCCACACAGAGCCAGCTCCTCCTGGAAGTAGGTACAAGGAGGGAGTGAGGAGTGATGGAGCATCTTCCCTTGGGAAGATATCCTACCCCCAGCCCAAGGGCTATAGAAGAAGCCACCATGAGAGAGAGAGGGTACACATCCAGAGAACAACTAAAGGGAAAATGTTATTTTTGCACAACTAACATTTGTCTCAATGGTTTACAAACTGCTTTCTCGCCCACCTGATGACTTGACTTGGGCCCCTATGACGACTCCATGAGATAGGACAGTTCACTGTTATCCACATTTTACAGGTGGACAAGTAGGGTCAGGTCTGGGGCACAGGTCTTCTCTGATTGCAAGCTCTCAGGTCATGCTCCTCACCAGGGTCTTTACAACTCTGAGGAGAGCATGCAGCAGCCTCCCAACTGGTCTACCTCCTCTGCTGCAGCCAATCTCCACCCAGCCAACAGTGGGGTACCCCTCTCTGCTCCTTGAAACCCTCAGTGGCCCCAAGGCCTACAACGTCCACTCGTAGCATCTTAGCCTTGCATTCACAGTGCCTCACAATCTGGTCTCTGCAGTCTCTCCTGCCTCTTCTCCTAAGTCATTCCTAAGCCACTCATCATGGAGTCCCCCCAAAGACCGAACATTTTTCAATCCTAGGCCTGTGCTCATGCTGTTCCCTTTGCCTGGGACGAATCTCCCCTCTCTTGAACCCCCTCTACTGCATTCCCTACCAAAATCTTCCTCATTCTTCAAGAATCAGCCTGACAGGGCAGAACAAGCCTGGGTCTAGGAGTCAGAAGATGTGGGTTGCAGTCCTGGCTCTGCCAATTACCAGTTGTGTGGCCTTGGGCAATTCACTCCCTCTCTCTAAGCCTGTTTCCTCATCTGTAAAATGGAATAACAACACCTCCCTCAAACGGTTATTTTAAGATCAAATGGAATAATGAACCTGAAAGCACTTGTGCATTATAAACTATTGTACACAATTGTCTTTCTTAAATGCCACCTTCTCTGTGAAGCACTCTCCATAAATGTCCACGCAAGCCAAACCCACTGCCATCAAGTCGATTCTGACTCATAGCGACCCTGTAGGACAGAGAAGAACTGCCCCATAGGGGCAGTTCCAAGGCTGTAATCTTTATGGAAGCAGACTGCCACATCCTTCTCCCGCAGAGCAGCTGGTGGGTTCAAACCGCCAACTTTTCAGTTAGCCAAGCGCTTTAACCACTGCACCACTGCACCAGCAGGACTCCTTATAAATGTTCAAGTTGAGGTTAACTGCTCTTTACTCAGTGTTTATATGACACTTCGCTCACATCTCTATCACAGCAATTAGCCTATTCTGCCTCTTATTACAGTTTCTGAATTCCTTTGAGGCAGAAATCATGTTTTATTGTATTTAAAGACAATAATTAATAGTAACAGCTGCCATTTATCAGACTTCTATTATTTATCATGCATTGTGCTGGGCACTTTACATTCCTTCTCATTTAATCATTATTTGTTGCTACTAGGAGATAGTATTGTGTTTTCCATTTTACAGATGAAGAAGCTGAGGCTCAGAGAAGCTAAGATGTTTGCTCAAAGGCCACACCACCTACAAGGGCCAGACTGCAAAGCTGGTACTTTTTCTATTAGGCAACACTGCCTCCTGGAGCCTCCAGGACATAGTATTCTGCATGGCAGTCTGTGAACCTGGGCGATTATTGGAGGTTCTTACCGAGGTGAGCAGTTTGGTGAGCACAAGGCCTTCGTGGCTCCAGATCCGGATACATTCGTCAGCCATCCTAGGGCTCACAGTGGCATTCCCTGCTTCCTCCTCTGGGCAAGCTATGGGAGGCTGGCTGGAGGGCAGGATGTCTGGGGCAGCATTAAAATACAGGCAGGTTCCTGGAGTCCTTCCTGTGGTCACCCTCGCTGTAATGAGGACCAGCTCTCTTGCATTAGATCCTGTGAGAAGCCCAGGAGAGAAAATGAGGGGTGGGATGCGAGCAATCCATCTTCAGATTTCTATTCATTTCCAGGGCTTCCTGCAATACCAGACATTTTGGCATTGATTCTATTCAATAAAGTACTCCATATACCATAATTTACATCATCAAGAAATGAAAATAACTATGTACTAATTTAAACAAAAATTAAACTAGCTTTCTATCAATGAAACAATAATACCAATACTCGCAAGGCTGCAGTGAAACTGGGGTAGAAACATGTTGCCAACGTCAGTCTGCATAAACATTTTTCCTTTTTAGGAAAGCAGTTTTCCATTAGGTACCAAAATCCATTAAAAAATTCACACTCCATTTCAAATTAGTGGGTAAAGGATGGCCTGTTCAGTAAATGGCCTTGGGACAATTTCCATTAGGAAAAAAATAAATTTAGACTCTTATCTCACACTAGAAATGATATAAAGTCCAGATGGATTAAAGAGCTACAAACAAATAAATTAAAAAAAAAAAAAAAACCCTAAGCAAGTATTAAAAATACAAAGGCATTTATGAAAAACCCACAGCTAACATCATACTCAATGGAGAAAGACTGAATGCTTTCTCATTAAGATCAGGAACAAGATGGATGCCTGCTCGTACCACTGCTATTCAATATCGGTATTAAACTCCTAGCCAGCCTAGGCTAGAAAAAATTTTAAAAAGTATCCTTTTTGCAGATGACAAGATCTTATACATAGAAAACCCCAAAGAATCCACAATAAAGCTATTAGAACTAAAAAATTAATACAGCAAGGTGGCAGGGTATAAGATCAAAACATAAAAAATCAGTAGGGTTTCTATACATTAGCAATGAGCAAGCAGAAAAGCAAATTAAGGAAACATTACTATTTACAATAGCATCTAAAAGAATAAGATACCTAGGAATAAATTTAACCAGGAAGGTGAAAGACTTGTACACAGAAAACTATTAAAATGTTACTAAAAGAAATTAAAGAAGTCCTAAATAAATGGAAGGACATTTTAGTTCATGGATTGGAAGGCTTAATATAGTTAAGGTCAGTATTACCCAAAGCAATCAATGCAATTCCCATCAAAATTCTAATACTTTTTTTTTTTTTTTAACAGAAATAGAAAATCCAATCCTCAAATTTTTATGAAAGGGCAATGAACACTGAATGGCTAAAGCAATCTTGAAGAAGATGAATAAAGTAGAAGGACTTACGCTTCCTTATTTCAAAACGTACTATAAAGCCATAATAATTAAAACAGTCTGATACTGGTATAATAACAGACATATACACCAATGGAATAGAATCTAGAGTCCAGAAATAAATCTATGCATCTATGGTCAACTGATTTTTGACAAAGGCACTAAGTCTATTCAATGGGGAAGGAAGAATCTTTGCAATAAATGGTGCTGGGAAAATTGGATTTCCACATGCAGAAGAATGAATCAGGATCCAAGCCTCACACCATGCACAAAAACCAATTCAAAATGGATCAAGGACCTAAATGTGAAAACTGCTGCTGGGTGCCATCGAGTCGATTCTGACTCATAGTGACCCCATGTCACAAAACAGAACCACCTCATATGGTTTTCTTGGCTGTAATCTTTACAGAAGCAGATTGCCAGGTCTTTCTCCCTTGAAGCAGCCAGGTGAGTTTGAGCCATCAACCTTTTGGTTAGCAGCTGAGCGCTTAACTGTTTGTGCCACCAGGGCCCCTTAAACATGAACATTAAAACCATACAAATCTTAGAAGAAAATATGGGTGCATGGATGCAGGGCCTAGTTTTTAATGGTGGGTGAACAGATATGACCACAAAAGCACAAGCAGCAAGAGACAAAATAGGTAAATGGGACTTCATAAAAATTAAATACTTTCGTTCATCAAAGGACTTTATCAAAAAAGACAACCTACAGATTAGGAGAAAATTTCTGGGAACCATATATCCGATAAGGGTCTAATATCCAAAATATTATTTTAAAAAAAACTTCTAAAACTTAACAACGACCCAATCGAAAAATGGGCAAAGGACTTGGACAGTTCACCAAAGAGGATATTCAGATGATCAACAAGCACATGAAAAGATGCTTAACATCGTTAGCCATTAGGAAGATGCAAATCGAAACCAAATGAGATACCATCTCACTCCCATTGGAAAGGCAACAATCAAAACAACAGAAAACAAATGTTGGTGAGGTTGTGGGGAAAGTGAAACCCTCAGCCACTGCTGCTGGGAATGTAAAATGGTGGGCAGCAGCTGTGGAAAAGTTTGGCAGTTCCTCAAAATGCTGAACATAGAATTTCCATATGACCCAGCAATCTGAAGCCCAGGCTTATACCCAGAAGAAGTGAAGGCAAGACTGCAAACAGAAACCTCTATACCAATGTTCATTGCAGCACCTTTTCATAATAGCCAAACAGGGGAAACAGGGCTAGATTAACCAGTAAGCACGGTATACACTGATTTACAAAAAGCAAGCTACACGTGGGCTTGCATGGTGAAACCCAGGTGAAATTGTGCACTACAAGTTAGTAAGTAAACACACTGAAGCCCATGTATACCTAGATGTGGAGCCCTGGTGGCACAGTGGTTAAGAGTTCAGGCTGCTAACCAAAAGGTCGGCAGTTCAAATCTACCACCCGCTCCTTGGCAACCCTATGGGACAGTTCTACTCTGTCCTATAATGTCGCTATGAGTTGGAATTGACTCGAAGGCAACAGGTTTGGTTTGGTTTATACCTAGATGTGGTGAAACCCAGGTGAAATTGTGCACTACAGACTAGTAAGAAAACAATCCCGTGCGTACCTTGCTTATTGGGTAATCCGTACCTGGGTGGAAACGACAGAAATGTCCATCGACAGATGAATGACTAAACAAAATGTGCTATATACACGCAACGGAATACTACTCAGCCATAAAGAGAAATAAAGTCCCGATGCATGCCACTACACGGATGAACCTTGAAAACATCATGCTGGGCGAAATAAGTCAGTTGCATAAAGGACAAATACACTGTAATGTCTCAATTATATGAAATAAACAAATATATGGAAGCCAAAGCTTATTAGTGGTTAACGTGGGGTGGGGGGATAAGGGGAGCTTTTACTTAGGGGGCATTAAGTTTATGTTAATGGTGGTGGCACAATTTGGAAAAGGATAGCGAGAATGGTTGCTCAACTTAAAGAACATAATCAATGTTACTGAATTGTACATCTAGAAATTGTTGAAATGGCCTATATTCTGTTAGGTATATTTTCACCATAAACAAAAAAGCCCAGAAGAATATTTTTGTAATTTAGGATGAGGAAGGCCTTCCTAAGAAAGACACAAAAGCTAAAAGCCTTAATAAAGGACAAGATTGATAAATCTGACCTCATAAAAGTTAAAAGTTTCTACATAATAAAAGATAAGTTAAAAGAACAAGTAATAGATTGGTTGAAAATATATTAAGTGAGAAAAGGTTTACTACCTAGAATGTATTAAGACCTTCTAAAAATCAAGAAGAAAGAGACAAAAGAAAAATGAGCAAAGGATAAAAACCAAAAACCAAATCCATTGCCACCAAGTCGATTCCAACTCATAGCGACCCTATAGGACAGAGCAGAACTGCCCCACAGCATTTCCAAGGCTGTAAATCTTTATGGAAGCAGACAGCCATATCTTTCTACCACAGAGCGGCTGGTGGATTTAAACCGCCGACCTTTTGGTTAGCAGCCGAGCGCTTAACCACTGCACCACCAGGGCTCCTCAAGTAAAGGATATGAAGAGGTAATCCACAGAAGATGTGAAAATGGCCAAACCTGTAAGATGCTCACTAGATGAGCAACCTCATTAGCAATCAGAAGAAAGTCAATTAAAACAATGTGGTAATTCCTTTGTCCAGTAAACTGGTAAAAATTAAAAGGATAGATAATAACAAGAGCTGCTGAAGATGTGGGGAGATAGGCACTCTCGATGACACCTTTTAGAAGACAATTTGGCTGTATTTATTGCAATTTAAATGGGCACAAAAGGGATTAAGAGGATGTCCACCAAACTGTGGACATTTACTTCCGGACAGGAGGTAAGGAGGCCTTTTTACATTTGCTCTGTATACTTCTGTATGGTCTGAATACACAATAAAATGAATTTGTATATTAAAAAAGGCCCACACCCTTTTACCCAGTAATACCACTTGTGAAAATTATTCCTAAGGAAAGAATTCAAAAGAAAAATGCAAAATGTATCAAGATGTTCACTGTAATTCTACCAATTAAAAAAAACAAAAAACCAAACCCGCTGCCATCGCGTTGATTCCGACTCATAGCGACTCTAAAGGACACAGCTGAGCTGCCCCACAGGGTTTCCAAGGAGTGCCTGGTGGATTCCAACTGCCAACCTTTTGGTTGGCAGCCATAGCTCTTAACCATTACGCCACCAGGGTTTCCAATTCTACCACTTATACCGAAAAATGAGAAACAATTGAGATGTTTAACAACAGAGAAAGCATTAACAAATGATGACCTAGCCACTTAAGGAACTAATTTACAGCCATTAAAATGATAATATGGAAGTAGTCATATGGAAAAACATTTATGATATTGTAAATGAAAAAGATAAATACAAATGGGCATATGCACCATTATTCCCCATTGCCTGTCGAGTGGATTCCAACTCATAGCGACCTACAGGACAGAGTAGAACTGCCCTATAGGGTTTCCAAGGCTGTGACCTTTACAGAAGCAGACTACCACATTTTTGAGCAGTGGTAGGTTCAAACCAGTCACCTTTCGGTTAGCAGTCCAGCGCTTTAATCACTGGGCCACCAGGGCTCCTTGCAGCATTATTACAACTGTGAAAAACGTACATGTAAAATTCTATAAGAGAACTTCTCTCCTTTCTTCTACGTTCTCTGGAATCAGTCACCAAGTCCTGTCAATCCCACTTTTCTAATGTCTGTCTCAAATCGGTTCCCCTCTTTCACACCACTGCCTTAGCTCAGGTTCTCATCATCTCTTTACTGCAACCACTCTGGCTAACTGGTCTTCCTGCACCTGGACACATTCCTTCCGGGCAGTCGGCCAACAGAGTAATCTTTTAAAACGACCAAACAAAACAAAATACCATTATTACTTTCCTGATTAAAATCTTTGAGTCTCCCCAGTATACGGAATAAAGCGCAACTACCTTGGCATGGCACACAAGACCCTCACAGATTTCTGCCTGCTGCTTCACACCCATCTTCTGCCAAACGGAACCCCTGGAGGTTCCTAAACATGCCTTTGCACACACTGTTCCCTCTGGCTGGAATGGCAAACCCCTAAGCCTCCTTCAGGCCTCAGTCAGGCACTCTATCCTGAGTAAAGCCTGTCCTCACCATCCCTGCTTTATGGACTTCTAGGAACCCCCCACTGTATCTTGTGTTTTACTTCACACACTGAGAGGTATTTACTTCTATTCACACCTGTATCCTTGTTAGACTTTGAGCAGCTTGAGAGGAGGGCCTATGTCTTACAGCTCTCTGTATTCTCCATGCCTGCTACATACAGTCATCCCTCAGTATTTGCAGGGGATTGGTTCCAGGACCCCATGGATACCAAAATCTGCAGATGCTCAAGTCCCTCATATAACATGGTGTAGTATTTGGATATAACCTACACACATCCTCCCATGTACTTTAAATCATCTCTAGATTACTTATAATACCTAATACAATGTAAATGCTATGCAAATAGTTGTTATACTGTATTATTTAGGGAATAATGACAAGAAAAAAAGTCTGTACATGTTCAGCACAGATGCAACCATCATAGGCCTAACTACATAGTACATGTTAGCAAAAACGTAACATTTTTTCCAAATATTTTCAATCTGCAGTTGGTTGAATCTGCAGATGCAGAACCCGCAGATAAACGAGGGTGGATTGTAGTAGCTGCTCAATAATTATTGCTTGGATGGTACAGTCATAGGTAATTTATTTTCTCCAAAATACTCTTTGATGTTATTACATTGTTTCTGACCGTTATAAAAAGAATGGGGCTTCTTTGCAGAAATTGAAAAATTATTCCTAAAATTCACCTGGAAATTCAAGGGACCAGGAATAGCAAAAATCATCCTGCAAAAGAACAAAGTTAGAGGATTCACATTTCCTGATTCCAAAACTTACTACAAAATTACAGCAATCAAGACAGTGTGGTACTGGCATAAGGATGAACATACAGATCAATGGAATAGAACTGAGAGTCCAGAAACAAATGCTCATATTTATGGTCAATTGATTTTCAACAAGGGTGCCAAGGCAATTCAATGGGGAAAGAAGAGTCTTTTCAACAAATATTGCTGGGACAACTGGATATCCATGTGCAAAAGAATGAAGTTGGACCCCATTCCTCACACCATAAACAAAAGTTAACTCAAAAAGGATCAAAGACCTAAATGTAAGAGCTAAAACTATAAAACTGTTAGAAAAAAACAGGGGTAAATCTTCATGACCTTGGGTTAGGCAAAACTTTCTTAGATATGACACCAAAAGCACAAGCAGCAAAGAAAAAAACAGACAAATTGGACTTCATTAAAATTAAAAACTTCTGTGCTTCAAAGAGCACCATCCAAAAGATGAAAAGACAACCCACAGAATGGGAGAAAATATTTGCAAATCATATCTCTCATAAGAGACTTATATCCAGAATATATAAAGAAATCTTATAGCTCAACAATAAAAAGATAAATAACCCAGTTAAAAAATAGGCCAAGGATCTGAATATACAATTCTCCAAAGAAGATATACCAATAAGCACATGGAAAAATGTTTAACCTCATTAGCCATCAGGGAAATTCAAATTAAAAGCATAATGAGATACTTTACACCCACTAGCATGACTAGAATCAAAGAGATATAAGTATTGAGGATGTGGAGAAATTTGAATCCTCATACACTGATGGTGGGAATGTAAAATGGTGCAGCCACTTTGGAAAACAACCTGGCAATTCCTCAAAAGGTTAAATACAGAGTTGCCATGTGATCCAGTAATTCCACTCCTATGTATATACCCTAAAGAAATAAAAACACACATCCACACAAAAACTTGAACACAAATGCTCATATGAGCATTATTCATAATAGCCCAAAAGTGGAAACTCACATGTCTATCAACTGATGAATGATGGATAAGCAAAATGTGGTATATCCATAAAATGGAATATTATTTGGCCATAACAAGGAACGAAGTACTGATACATGCTACAACATAGATGAATCCTGAAAACATTATCCTAAGTGAAATAAGTTAGACACAAAAAACGACATATGATTCCATTAACATAAAATGTCCACAATTGGCAAATCAATAAAGACAAAGTAGATCGGGGGTTGCTTAGGGCTGGGGGCTTGGGAGGAAATGGGGAATGACTGCTAAGGGGTGTGGGGTTTCTTTTTGAGGTGATGAAAATGCTCTAACGTGACTGTAACATATTTTTTAAAAAGTAATAATAGTAATATTGTTCCAAGTCTGTATGTATCAGACACATTCTTTTACTCTTGTGCTTTGTTCACGTGTACACCTGGACTTGCAGAGACCTACTCCCACACACAAACACACATACTAGACTCAGGAGAATCATAGAATGATAGTGTCACGTAAGGACCTCCAAAGTGAGAGAATTCCACCTTTCCCTCCTCCCTCTTCATCTCCCCAGTTTTTAAATAAGGAACCTGAGGCCAAATGTTACACAGGAATTAATTAATGGCACCCAATGACTCTCACTCATCATTTTCCCAGAAGACTATTTGGAAATGGATGGTGTCTAATTTCTTCTGTATCCTCCATAGCATGTAACACTGTACTAAGCATAGAGTGGACATTCAATAGTTGAACAGAACATGCTTTTCTGATATCCCTAGTAGGAAAAAGGCAGCACCTTTAAGAGGAGAAGATTGTAAGGATGAAGAGGGATGAGAAAGAACACCAAGTCAAACCTAGCCCACTCCATCACACCTCCAAGTACAGACTCAAAGAACCTCTGAGCTGGAAAGGGAAAGCTTATAGAGAACTGACACTGTAAGGTAGTGTGTTTCCTGAAAGTATCTAGTTCTCCTTACAGCAGAAGTGACTAAGGCCCAGAGATGTGTTCAGGGTCACCAGACTGATGAAGGTAGAGGCAGGGCTCAGCCCTCAGTATTCTGATGCCTGACCCCACAGTCCTCCCCCGTCTCACCTTTCAGTCCCATCTGACTACCCAGGACCTTGGCTTGGAATGTCTGGGTCTTGTTCCTGTCTGGACCATCTCCGAAGTTCAAGGTGGTCAGTAAGCCCACGACATGAGGCCCATGCCACTTCCCTGTGAGTGTCCCATTGATAGGGCACAGGGTCAGCTGGCCAAAAGACCTCAAGAAGGAGACCCAGTCCTGTGTGCAAAGAGGGTGAGAGGGAGGTGAGAGCAAATCAGTAACAAGAGTCAGCCTGTGTCGGGAGGATGGACAGAAGGATACTTACCTGAGGAATGTCAGGGCTGCGAAGGCCAGTCTTGTGGGTGAGGAGGAATCTGCCAAGACCCAGGCCCGAGAGGCCAAGAAGCAGCAGAATCAAAGTGGCACAGACCAGAGGTGGGTGGTGGGCCAGACAGAAATGCAGGTTGTGCCCTGCCTGGAAGCTGCCCATGGGGAGCAGAAGGTCTTGGGCCTCCACAGAGAGCCTGCTAGGGGACACAGAGGGAGAACTGGAGAAGAGCCTGTTGCACTCGTCCATTTTATTCAAAAGGAAGCTAAAGTGCAGAGCAGACAAAGGGCTTGCCCAGGGCCACACAGCCAGTTAGTGGCAGAGCCAGAACAAGGATCCAAGGCTCTTGACTCCACGTGTTCACTCCCTGCACCACTCAATAAATGTTTCATTTTTGAGGTAATCAATGTGGAAGCAGAGCAGAGTACCCTGTGTTGGCAAAAGATCTCGAAAAGGGGAATTCTCAGTGAGAAAAATAGGAAGCAGCTGTTTGGGGGCTAGGGTTTGGCTGAAGAAGCTCCAGCCAGAGCCCAGACAACGGAAGTCAAGGCTGTCTGATAAAAAAAAACTCTGCTTGAATACCTCTGTGCTACTCACTGGCTATGTGAAACCAAGTCAGCGAACCTTATGTAAAATGGGAATTCTATGAACACCACGTAATGAGGATTAAATGTGGCAGACACAGCAGTTTGTATGGTACTTTGTTATGCAAGAACTCAACAAATGTCTGTTTCTTTCCTTTGTGTCATACTTGTCCCCAGTTAGGCAGGGCAAAAATACTGTGGGGGAAACTGAGGCTCGGGGACTTTAACATAGCAGTGGTAGGGCCAAGGTCTGAAACCTGTCTCCTGCTTCCAAGTTGAGTACTCTTTCCGCGCTACCATATTTTCCCACGCGAGAAGCGACAGACTGAAGAAAAGGAACGTCTGGAAGGCGAGGTGATAAACATAGAGGGTGGGGGAAGGAGGGCACCAGGAAAACACAGGAGTCACAAATGCTCAGCCCCTGCCCTGCCTCCCCTCCCGGCACCTCCAGAAGGGGGAAAAGGAGGAGGGGAGAGCCGGAGCCTAAGGGTCAGTAGCTAGTACTGCACCGGAGCCTCCCTAACCCCCTCCTCCCAAGATCCCTTCCTGCGGGAACTCAAGCCCCGCAGCCCTCGCACGCTGGCAGCGCAGTGCCTGCCCGCCGCTCGCTCTCACCGCTCGGAACCCGGCGGAGGCCGGCGCCCCCCGCGACGTCACGCGTGGAGCCGCGCAGAGGCGGGGTCCGTGCTCCGCGCTTCCCTCTCCCGCCCACCCGTCCCACCCAGTGGTGGGGGTTCGCATGCGCAGTGCCCACGCGGCGGCCTCCTGGCCTCTCCAAGTCGGGGGGGGGGGCGTACCAAGAGGGAATCCAATGAAGCGGCGAAGGGGAAGAAATAACTCCGCGGGAGGTGAGTAGAAGGGAGATAGCCAAGGGAGGGAACCCTAAAAGATGTTGTAGAACCATAAACTCTCCCTCCGGAGAGATCCAAGGGGGCGTTTCAGCGAAAGTCTCGTCGCAAGCATTTTGCTGCTGTTCGTCCCCCACCCGCACAAATAGCACAGCCCGGCCATGCCCAGGTTCCGGGTAAGGACTTGGGGTCCGCCCGCAGGCCGGGTGCCCGCCCAGGTTGCAGCTCAGTAATGTTTAAAGTCTACTGTCACAGTTGGCACCGACTGTTTAATACATAGAATCTTAGAACTGCAAGGTTGCTTAGCACAGACCATTTTGTTTAACTTCCTTCCGCGTTTTAGAGATGACCCCCAGGTTCGTATTACACATGGAGTCAGGAGCCCCGGGTTCAGATCTTGCCTTGATCCCTGTCCCTGGATAAGCCATGACCGTACTTTCCGAGAGACTCAGTTTACCCCCCTGTTAAAGGAGATCATCATACCCACCTGATGGCTGGATGGGATGGTTAAGGGGCAAGGGGTGGGAAAACACCGGCGCAGTGCCCATTGAGCACACAGCCAGCACTGGACAAATGCTGGTTGAAATGGAATCTGAATATTCAACTCTTCTTGAAGACAATGACCATGTCATTCTATACTCACCCCCCCCCAAAAGTTTCTGGCACAGTCTTCCACAGGACAGTGGGTCCTGTACAAATACCATTGATTTATTTGATTGGAATTCCAATCATAGGAAGTGTTTTCTTCTTAAAGGGGAGAAAAAAGCGTGGTTGGTAGAGAATCTTGGAATCTAATAATTGGAAGGCACTTAATAATTGAACGAGTTCAACAATTCCGCCCCCCCTAGTTTTTCAGATACTAAACTGAGGTCTGGAATGTTTAAGGGATTTGCCCAAAGTCACCTAAGCAGTTAAGACTTAGCCAGAACTTGAGCCCAAGATTCTCGACAGAGTCCAGTCCCTTCCTCACTAAACCCTCCATCCTCAGTCCTGCCAAGAGACCTCGTCTGACCACCTACAAAGGTCTCTGCCCATCAGATGCTGCTTCCTGGGAAGTCACCCATTCACTCCAGGGTCACATACAGCCCAGCCTCAGCCAGGTAGGTACCTTTCCGTAGTCTTGGTCTGATCTCCCCAGCAAGCACCTCAGCTCCTAGAGTAGTATGTTCTCACCATTCCCCAGGGCTTCTCACAGTTTGAGCACACAGAAACCACTCAATCAAGATTTGTTGGTCAGTTGATTAAAAACAGCTTTGTACAGGCCAGCTCTCCTGAGGACCCATCAACTTTTAGTCTCATGTTAAGGTTAGAAATATGCCTGTCCATGCTGGAACATTGGTGAAGTTTAGGTTACAACCTAAAGCAAAGTTAATTCAGTCAACATTTTTGTTTGTTTGTTCGTTTGTTTTTTTCAGTGCCTGCTATTGTCCAGGTGGGAATCCCTGGTAGCAAATTTGTTTAAACACTTGGCTAATAATCAAAAGGTTGGTGGTTTGCACCCTTTCAGAGGTGCCTTGGAAGAGATGCCTGGCGATCTGCTTCCAAAAGGTCACAGCCTTGAAAACCCTATGGAGTGCCATTCTGTTCTGTACACATGGGGTCGCCATGAGCCAAAATTGACTTGACAGTTAGTTTGTTTTTTTTTCTTTTTATGATCCAGGTACAAAGTTAATATCCATATAGCACAAAAAATTGTCAACGCCTCTACTTAATGACAGGTCTAATTTGTAGGGTAAGATAAGGCATGAAAGTGTCCTGCACAGTGCAGGCACACAATGGAGTTCAATAAATGTGAGTTTTCTCCCATTATTCTCGTGCTACACAGTAATTAGGCATATTTGCAAAGCAGTTCTTGTGAATGACCGTAATTGATATTTACTTATACAGCCAAACCAAGCAATTCTGTGGACTAGTAGAGGCAAACAGTTTAGAGCAAGGAGCTGCTCGAGGCCTCACGATCGGGGTAAATGGATGTGAATACAAAATTGGGTGTGCAGCATAATCAATGCTCCAGTATTATACCAACATTCTGACTTAGTCCACTCAGTAGCCCTCAGAGTGGATGTTATTGTGGAAACCTGGGCCTAGACTACTGGAGTAATATAGCCAAGGTCACACCGATAGTAGGTGGCAGAAGTTGGCGTAGGATTCAGGCTTGGATGCAGCCTGTCATGTGAGAATCAGAAAGTCCACTGAGAAGGGAATCACGCAGTTGGGAGGGGTCCCTTGCTCATTCCATGGTGACGAATTCCTCTCAGAGCTCTGGCCCAGGATCAAGCTTCCCCCAGTGATCTATTTCATTTTCTCCTTCTAGATTATTGAGCCTTAAAACTTTTTGGGGGTTACAGACCCCTTGGGAATCTGATGAAAGCTTTTCTTTCAACCAGTCAGACATTCATTCAATAAGCATTCATTTTACATCTCCTTGGTGCCAGGCTCTATATCTGCAGGCAAGGGATACAATAGTGGACAGATTATACAGGATCCCTGTCCTTCTGGAGCCTGCAGTCTGGCTATGGACCCTCTTCTAGAAAACTGCATGTTCTCCTGAATGTTTACGTGCAATTTCAATCAGTGGGACCTCAATCCTCCTGGAGCCCACCTTGGACAAAAACCCCTGGCTGTTTACTAGGATTCCCTCTGCCCTAGTTGGAGCTCAGTTTTGTGTTTAGTTTCACATCAGAACTTACTGATAAAATTGCTTCTTCCTTCCCCCTTTACTACTTGGTTCTTACCCTATGTTATCCATTCAGTCATCCAATTCATTCATTCAACAGACATTTCAACACTTGCTAACTGCCAGGTACCTGGTTAGGCCCTGAGGGAAGCCACATTTCCTATCCCTGAAAAGCTTTAATGAAAGAGACGGATAAAACACAATTATGATACACCCTCATGCATTGCTAGTGGGAATGGAAAATGGTGCAGCTACTGTGGAAAACAGTTTGGTGGCTCCTCAGTAATTTAAACACAGAAATTACCTTACGATTCAGCAATTCCACTCCCAGGTATATTCCTGAAAGAATTGAAAACAGGTGTTCAAATGAAAACTTGTATACAAATGTTCATAGCAGCACTATTCACAATAGCCAAAAGTTAGGGTTAGGGTTAATCCACATGTCCATCAACTGATGAATGGCTAAACAAAATATGGTATATCCACACAATGGAATATTATACAGCCATGAAAAGGAAAAAAAGTACTGATACATGCTACAATACAGTTGAACTTTGAAAATATTATGCCAAGTGAAAGAAGCCAGACACAAAGGACCACATGTTGTATTATTCCATTATATAAAATCACCAGAATAGGATCTTTTCTCAAAAATCACCTCCTCAGAGTTGAAGAGACATTTGTCCGAAGAGGATATTCAGATGGCCAATAAGCACGTGAAAAGATGCTCAACGTCATTAGACATTAAAAACCCATTAAAAAAAAAAATCTGTTGCTATTGAGTTAATTCCGACTCCTAGTGACCCTATGGGAGAGAGTAGAACTGCCCCGTTGGATTTCCAAGCAGCGGCTTGTGGATTCAAACTGCCAACCTTTTGGATAGCAGCCGAATGGAAGATGCAAATCAAAACCACAATGAGATACCACATCACCCCCATTAGAATGGCAATGATCAAAAAAACAGGAAACAAGTATTGGTGTGGTGGTGGAGAAACTGGAACCTTAATGGTACAGCTGCTGTGAAAAACAGTTTGTCACTTCTTCAAAATGTTGACCATAGAATTACCATATGATCCAGTAATCCCAATCCTAGGTGTATACCCAGAAGTGAAAGCAGGAACGCAAACAGAAATCTGTACGCCAGTGTTCATTGCGGCACTTTTCACAATACCCAAAACTTGGAAACAACTGACTTGTTCATCAATAGATGAATGAATAAACAAAAGGTGGTATATACACCCAATGGAATACTGCTCAGCCATAAAGAGAAATAAAGTCCTGATGCATGCCATAACATAAATGAATCTTGAAAACATCATGCTGAGCGAAATAAGTCAGTCGCGAAAGGACAGATATTGTAATGTTTCACTTACACGAAATAAGCAAATATATAGAAACCAAAGATTATTAGTGGTTCCCACGAGTGGGAGGAAAGAATAAAGGGTAAGTTTTTGCTTAGGGATCATTGAATTTATGTTAATAGTGGTGGAATGATTTGGAAAAGGATAGCGAGAATGGCTGTCCAAGAGTGTAATCAATGTCACTGAATTATATATGTAGAAATTGTTCAATGGCAGATGTTTGTTGTGTATATTTTCATCACAATTAAAAATAAAAGTTATGTGAAAAAAAGTCACCTTCTTGATGAGGTCTATCTAACTTCCCCACTTAAAATTGCTACTCACACCTCCCTCCACCACTGGCACTCCTGATCCCCCTTACCCTGTTCTGCCTTTTATTTTTCCGAAGTGCCCATCACCTTCTAACACTATATGTTGTTATTGTTGTGAGGTACCGTCAAGTCAGTTCCGATTCATAGCCACTCTATATACTACAGAATGAAATACTGCCGGGTCCTGCACCATCCTCACAATCGTTGTTATCCTTAAGCCCATTGTTGTAGCCATTATGTCAGTCCATCTCATTGAGGGCCTTCCTCTTTTTCACTGCCCCTCTGATTTACCGAGCATGATGTCCTTCTCCAGGGACTGGTCCTTCCTGATAACATGTCCAAAGTATGTGAGACAAAGTCTCGCAATCCTTGCTTCTGATGAGCGTTCTGGCTGTACTTCTTCCAAGACAAATTTGTTCTTTCTTTTGGCAGTCCGTGGCATATTCAGTATTCTTCGCCAACACCGTAATTCAAAAGCGTCAATTCTTCTTTGGTCTTCCTTATTCATTGTCCAGCTTTCAC